TGGCTTAGCCAGTCATAAAAATATGAAAAGGTTCAGGCAAATACTTGTAGTAGAGCCAACTAAAAGAAAACAGTATCCAATGTAAACTGAAGGCTTTAAGCCTAAACAAAGAGTGCTTTTCAGCAAAAAACAGTGGGAGCCATCAAGCCTGTCATGGGCGTTCGTTCCTGAAACCAACAGAGTTTTAACATTTAAGTTGAAGACACATAGGCCTATATTTACTGAAGTCATTAATTTAACCTCTTAACATCCTCAAGGTCATTAATCTGGTAATGAAATAAATAGTCAGGCTTCAAGCATCTCACTGAAAGTGGGAATCTCATATTTGAAGTGGAAAATGGCACATGGGATAAACATAATATTTGGCAGACTTGTGGGAAAAGCTTTGCATGCAAGAAGAAACAAACAATTATCCAACTAGAGGCCCAGAGACTCAGCTATTATAAATATAAGTATCATGTTATTGTCAATGTTGAAAAAACAATGGTAATTCATCATTGGTAGCCTGGTCGTACCACACCTTAGTACGAAATACATTTCGTACTAAGGTCTGGAGGTGCTCCATTGAGCTCCGTTAGCAGGTGGGAGGGGTTAACTCCTTTTGCGGATTGAAACCATTGGATCTGAGTTTACCGTGACGTACGTATTGCGCCCGAGTGAGTCGTTACCAAGCCCTGGTGATCCAAGATGGCGCCCTATTCAAATGAATGGCTTGTGCTCAGTAGCGCATGGGACTTCACGGAGACCGGGAGATTAGCAGAACTCGCCTATATTTGGGCATCGTCTGGTCCTCCGTAGTGGACAAGCTCCCGTGATGCGTTGCGCCGAACGTGCATGTGTGGCTCTCATGCATGCGCACAGAGGGGCTCGGCCGCGCTCTGACCAATCAGAGCTGCTGATCAGAACAGCAGAATGGAGTCAGAGCGGGAAGGAGCAGAGTGGCAGTAAAGTGTGGATTTAAAGAAAACAGAAGGATTTAAGAAGAAAAAAAGTTCAGGATGACAAGGGACTAGGGCTGGGATAAACGATTATTTTTTAAACGATTAATCTAGCGATAATTTTTTCGATGCATCGATTAATCTAACGATTATTTTTTTCGCTTCGATTCGATTTCGATTTGATTCGATTCTCGATTATCTCCCCATTAATTGACTAATATTGATGTATACATGTTGATTTAAATATTTTAATGAAAAAAAACATGAATTCCTTCACAAAAAATATTTATTGCTTGCTCTTAAAATTCAAAAATAAGACATTCTTAGAGGTAGCATAAAACCTTAAAGCCTTGAAAACACAGCTTACTGAAAAAAGTGCATCTTATCATTCTTGAAACAAACATTTGATGCTTAGCATTCAATAAAAATATGAAAAAGTTCAGCCAAATACTTGTGTAGAGCAACTAAAAGAAAACAGTAACCAATGTAAGCTTGAAGGCTTTAAGCTAAACAAAGAGTGCTTTTCCAGCAAAAACAGTGGGAGCCATCAGCCTGTCATGGCGTCCTTCCTGAACCAACAGAGTTTAACATTTAAGTTGAAGACACATAGGCCTATATTACTGAAGTCCATTAATTAAAGTGCATCTCTTAAATTCTTCATTCATATAAAAATAACAGTCAAAACTCTGCCACTCACCTTTTTCTTAAACTCAGAATTCAAAAATAAAATTCAAGTAAGAGTGTACAAGAGAAAAACAATGCATTGTGTAGCAAATAAAAAGGTCAACCAGTCATCCTTTCTTTTAGAGTTACTGAAAGAATACAGTAGAAGTAATCTCAGAGGACTTAAAACAACATTGAAGTCACCAACACAGATCAGAGAATCAATCAACAGTTAAACACATTAAGGATATTGAACACATGTTGAAAAATGTCCATATACGGCGGGCATGACAGTGAATAATACATGTAGGGGCTATTACGGGCGCCAATATTCCGTTTGATACAAAGAAAGACAGACTAGTTGTAAGCTGTAGAGTTGCCACAGGACGCGTCATCAGCCTACGTCAGCAGCCGCGGACTGCTATGAAAACATTAGCTTTGTGGTTTCACAGTCGCAGTTGACTGCTTAAACTAAACTTTGCACGAAACTTTGACTCTTAAAACCCACATGTGACAAAACGGAACCATCCACATCTCGCCTCAAATTGCATTAAAATTGACATTCGTGTCTGAATTCGTTCATATTTTAACTTTTAAAGAAATTCACGGTCCGCCATCTTGGTTTGCTTCGGCTGCCGTGAGACGCGCATGCGCAGGTTTGCATTACATGATAAACAGCTGAGGCTGTGCATCTCTTCAAGGCAGTGTATCTCAGCGTTACACCGGCTTGCACTTCTCTAACACGGCACTCGCATTGCTACCGCTCGCCGCCATCTTTGTTTTGTGTGTGACGCACCGACGCGCATATTATACGTCGGTGTATTTTTTGCGTCGACGTCACCGATTACGTCGACGCGTTGTCCCAGCCCTACAAGGGACACTAAAATCCCCACAAAATCCAATCTTTATGAAAGCTGTAGGTTCTCTGTCAGCTGAGGTCGAGCTGTTTTAATTTACATTGAGATCTAAGGGACTTTTTTCTGGGTAGCCCGCGTGAATTTAGTTTGCAGTACCACGGGCAGTACCACGGGCGCCCCCTGTGCCTGTGGGTGGGACAGCTCTAAGCTAGTAATACCCTATTCAGTTATTATTATAGATCCATGGTTGTTAGCAATTAGCATTTAGTCTAACCATCTCCTTTGCCACTAACGGTGCCCGTGGGGAGTAGCGCCACAGTCTTTGCCAGAAATTACATTTGCTTAACATTCCTCTTGCTCCGGCTTCAATTTCTTGATAGAACCAGACCGGAATACTTTTTTATCGCATTTTTCGCCATTGCCAAACTACAACCTACCCGTTCAGCGCAAACCCTTGACGTCACCCACATCTTATCACAACACCTGCCTCCCGCGCTCACTGATTGGTCAGATGGAATTCAACCGATACTCGCAAACACAGGACGCAGACCCAAACGTTACATGCAGGGAAATGAGAATTGAGCGGAGTGTACGGATGGCTAAGGCCAGGCTACATCATTGGTAATTTAACTGTATTAATGCTATTGTGGCAGTACAGGGTCACAAGGGGGCTGTAGTGTGCAGGCTTTAAAAGCAATCGGCCCATCTCCTTCGGCCTTGCCCTGCACACTTCCTGGTCTGGTGTCAACCTCCGTGTTGCTCCCGTGTTGCCCCATAGCCATGTAAGATGGTGATGTCTGCCATCCCACCGCAGCTCCTGTTCAGTGCAGGTGTGGAGGGTGCGTCAGCCTCCTGCACTTTACGTGCCCTGCATTTAATGGTGATGTCTTGCTGGTACTGAGGAGAGGAGCGGCCGCCTTGACTATTTTATAGCGGAGATCTGTGGTGGCTGGAATTGTGCGCCACTTTGACGACGTGGACTAAATCTATCTGCTATACTCAATATCTGAACTATTTACTAGGTTAAAGCTGCACTAACTGACTTTGGGATTTTGAAGCCGCGGACCCGCTGGCCTCTCTCTTTCTGCTCCCCTCCCCGCACCCACGAAGCTATCGCCCCCCACACACACCCACTGTTGGGACGAAGCTAGCGTCTCCCAATATGGATAATACATGGATATGGATTTTCACGTGGATGGCGTGACCATAGAACGATAGAACCGGGAAGCGCGGAGGAACGAGACTTTCTTTTGGATGGCTGTCTCGCTGTGTAAGCAGTAACCGGTGACGAAGAGACGAAGCTTCAGGTTAGCTCCTCGGCTTGTTGTGCTAACTCAGCCGTCTATGCTAACGGAGACCTGTAGATTTCTCACAAAAGTGGGGGCCAGTGGTCCGCGGTGATTGGTCACAATCTGCGACCCGAAACACATTCTCGTCCTTGTTTCATCAAAACTCGATCTAAAATATAATGTCACGCCAGCCCCAAATCTGCGCTACTTTTTCGTCAAAAGGACGTATATCCCAATGCCCTACACGGACATGGATAGCATTTTCGTAATGAATACAAAATAAAGTCAGTTAGTGCAGCTTTAAGTAGGAATAAAGAAAAAGCAAATGTTAATTTTCCTCAGTCTTTTCCTTAAAACTTACCTGTGTGCTTTCATTCTAATGGCGTTGCTGGTACTGTACGAGTGTCAGTTGAAACTACACCACCATCCGGTTTCACTATTTAACATAATTTATCTGCATATAGTAATTGCTATGTGCAGATGCCAATGTTTAGATCGTTTGAGTGTTTCAGAAGCAGATTTAGGTTTGCAAATTTAGGTTTTGCCAATTTAGGTTTTATAGTTAAGTCGATTTGCTTTCTCTTGATTATTTTACAACAACATTTCTCAGACATGCATCCTATTTCAGACAGGTGGATTTTGTCCTTTTGTCTAAGCCTGGCATTTTACATAATCATACATTCATAATATTAAATTTTCACTCTCACTTAATTAAAAAGATGGATTTAGCAATGAGTCAGAAGCACCATAAGCAACTTTCCCAAACTATGACTACTGTCTTCTGGGTGGTGGCACTGACTGACTTCTGAGATGAGAGCATCAGGAGTTTGAACAGAGTTTAACCTGCAGCATTATGTGGGTGAAGAGCAGCGGAGAAAGGGCACATCCCTGTGGAGCCTCCAAGTGTGGAGGTGATGTTGATGTGAATGCAGAGCTAAACTTCACAAACAAGATACTATTTTTTGGCTTTAGAAAAATGTGTGAAAGCATTAAATATCAGGGCGTGTAATAACAAGAACACATTTTGAACTTGTTCTGTACAGTATTATCTCGGAAGCATATCTACAGTGAGGGAAACGGACACAGGCAGCCCTGGGGTTTTTTTTAAACTAATTGCACAGCTAACGCTCTCTACCATGAGTGCACAAATCAATTTGTTACTAAGCACCAAACAAGAAAGTCTTAATCCAAATCATAAGAAGAGCACTTTTATTTGTGAAGAGATATAATTAGATTTTTTAACTAGCAGTAAATCAGGTGTGTCTGTGCTCGTGGCTGTAGTTACCTATTGGAAAGACATCAGGCTGAAATATTGGTATTGCTGCTTGAGGCTGAGAAGATGCTTGTTTCAGCATGTTGTGCATGTCACCCTTCCTGCCACATCCCCCAATCAATGGGAGCTTGACAAATCTCCCTCGAACTGGGAATCATATTTTCAAGTGCTTGGAGGGCATTTGCTCAGGCAGACTCCGACTGTGACCTGGAGCCAACGCACTTTTAGTGCCTTTTCACATTGTTTGACACAAATAATCCTCTTTGTATTCACAGGGCGACTCCAGGATGTCATAAATCTTCCTGACCACGCTTCCTGACACCCATTTTATGAAATAGAAAATGTAAGTATACTTTAGGATAATAAATTGTATAATAGGATTACAATTCACTGCAACAGTGTGATTTTAGTCTTAATTAAACTTAATTCAAAACCAGAATCAGAATAATTTCTATTGCCATTGTATGTAACAGGAGGTCACAAACTTTAATGGTGCAAAAAGTAAAAGTAAAAAGAATGAATACAAAATCTTAATAAAATTGCAAATTATCAATGCAAGACTAAGAATGACTCTTATAATCTGTATTTTATGGGTAGAATACTTCGAAAATGTATTCCGTTCCAGAATACTGAATATATGACATAAAATGTATTTGTATAGTATTCTGTTACTTTGGAAAAAAATAGTAACTGTATTCCGAATACTTTTCAAATGTATTCAATATCTAATAAATTATATTGATTAGATTAGATTAGAGTTTTACATACTATAAACAATTATACACATGCACACGCTCGGTAAAAAGCTAAGTTTAGCTAATGCTAGCTTAGTGGTTGCCGTTGGGGCTATTTTTTACAACAGCACTATATAGCACCATAGATAAAGGGTGAGATACTGGTCAATAGGGTTGCCAACTTGAGAACAAAAAAATAAGGGGCACCATTTGGGTAGATCGGGTTGAGCACTTTTTTAGTCCTAATTTCAATCTACACAGGAAGAATGTAATTTATTGACAACATATAAAAAAAACAAATTCTTAGGCAAAAATTCAATGTATAAATAGATGGAACTCTTTGGTTGGTCAAGGACTTAATGCATTCTTTTTAGTCATAAAAATAAATAAAAAAACAAATGCTGTAACATACATTATTGAGTGAGTGAGGAGGAGTGTGTAACAGTAAAGACTATTTACTGTAAAATAAAAAAAATAAAATAAAAAAAACATATGTATTCATTTAAAAACTCACAAATGTTGAAATCAAAGTCTGTAGCAGTTAGACATGGTCATTAATTATATTGTCTGAGAGTTTTGTGCAGGTACATGGCTTCAGTAAAAGCTATTGTTTGTTTACAAAGCTGGTCTGGACATTTGTTGACGGCCCCTAAGCGCTTTTCTCGGCGTTTTGCAGTGCACTGGATTCAATGGATTTCTCTGCATTAAAACAACGCATTGGATTTGAAAAATCAACGTAGATCAATGATCATTTTAGCAAATTACTTTTGTTTAACAAAGTAACTTCCGTGAGCTATTGACCGCAGAAGTCCGAATCTGGGAATATGACACTACTTGACAAGACTTCCGCCATGATGATGCTGCGGGTACGGCCCACGCTGCCACTTGTCAACAGTAAACCCATGGATGTGATCGAGCCTACGCCCCCCCTTTGACACTGATTGGCCGAAAGGTAGGAGCTTCAACTGGGATTACTATGTGTGTGCGCGTGTGTCGCGCGTGTGACATGCAGTGAGTGAGTGATGCATTTAAGGTGGCTCTGAAAATACGGGACAAAAGCCGTCCCATATCTATTCAATATGGGACGCACATAGTTTTTCTATAATACGGGATAATTCCGTATTTAAGGAACGGTTGGCAACCCTACTGGTCGACAAAGCTTGCACTGCTCAGTTATATTTTGACCTCCTGTTTTAGAATGAGATGAATTAGTGATTGAACGTCCACAATATGAATGCATTGGCCGACGTTTGTTGTTACCGTGTTCCGTGTGCTGATGATGCGGTCTCTGATTATAAGTCTGACTCCTCCATGTTTTTAAACCACAATCTCCTCCGCGCGCTCGCTGCTGTTCACCTGGACTTGTTGTTGTTGGATGCGTAATGCGTGGACGCAAGGTTTAGTTCATTGTTTTTATTTTACCTTCAAGTTGTAATATGTGAAAGTACGTATTAACGTGATTATCAGAAAGTAACTGTATTCTAAATACTAGACTTTAAAGTAGTAACTGTAACGGAATACAGTTACTCAAAATGAGTATTCTGAATATATAACAGCGTTACATGTATTCTGTTACTCCCATCAGTGCCTACAATTTCAGGAACTCTTATTCTTGTATTTGAAGACAGAATATTGTTTACAGATTCACATCAGAGCTTACTGCTATATCATTATTTAATACAATCATGTCATTAGTCATGTATTCCTGTTTGTAATTTGCATTGTAGTCAACTTTTACACTTTTGTACAATCCTATTGACCAGGCTCTATACTGGTCATCTGTATCTATGAGAAAAAGTCATTTTAGCAGCATTTAAAGTAGAAACCTGAGGTTTACAAGCACTGTGGAAAAGAAAGGTTTTGTTTTGTTTGTCACTATCTGAAGTAAAAGGAAATGCAATACAATAAAAACATATCTTTCACATCTTGTATGTGCAATTTTACACATTTAAAGCTGCACTAACTGACTTTATTTTTGTATTCATTACGAAAATGCAATCCATATCCATGCAGTGCATTGGAATATACGTCCTTTTGAAGAATAAGTAGGGCAGATTTGTGCTGGTGTGACATTATATTTTAGATCCAGTTTTGGTGAAACAAGGAAGAGAAAGTGTTTCGGGTCTCAGATTGTGACCAATCACAGCGGACCACTGGCCCCCACTTTCGTGAGAAAAGCCACAGGTCTCTGGTTAGCACCGACAGCTGAGTTAGCACAACAATCGGCAGAGGCTAACCTGAAGCTTCCTGTGTCTTCGTTACTGCTTACACAGCGAAACAGCCATCTGAAAGAAAGTCTTGTCCTCTCCGCGCTTCCCGGTTCTGTCATGCTATGGTCACGCCATCCACATGCAAAAGTGCGATCTTGTTCCATATTGTGAGACGCTAGCTCCGAAACTAACAACAGCACAGATCACAGGCTGCGGGGGAGGGGGCTAGTGGGGGGCGAAAGCTCCGTGGGTGCGGGGAGGGCGAGTAGAGAGAGGGAGCGCATCGCTCGAGTTTGACATTTTCTCCAAATCAGTTAGTGCAGCTTTAAAACAGGAAGTTGCTCACAAGTTGGTTGGAATTCTGGCCCATTACTCCCACAAAACTGGATAACTGAGCCACAGTTACTTTGGCTCCATGTTTGTCCTTCAGGACAGCCCCTTCATCCTGAGCTTTAATTATACATTTCCACAGTGTTCCTTTTATCTACCCATCTATTTAATGAAGACCACCAGTTCCTTTGGCATAAAAACACAGCTCCAACACACAAGACTGCCACCCTCTTTCTTCAGCGTGATCATATCCCTTGGATAACAACATTTCCTCTCTTTCCACCAAATGTATTAAAGACCGCCCACTAAACAAAATTAAGTTGATCGTCTTTTGTCAGGAACCAATCCAGGGCTGTCAGCTTCCCGAGAGGAAACTCTCCAAAGCAATTTCCAAGTCTGTGACCTCCTGTTACTTACGTGGCAATAAAAATGATTCTGATTCTGATTCTCAATGAGCAATACATGCACACACACGCACACACACACACACACACACACACCGAGCCGCTTGGGCCAAGACCAGATCAGATCCTCTCTCAACTGAGGGGGAGACCTTTAAGTGGAATGCATGGTAGTCAGAAAGATAAGAGAGAAAGGAGTGAATTTGAAAAGCCATTTCAGTAGAAGAACATAACACAGATTTGAAAACCCAACAAATCAATATCAACAGTAGTCCTAGTCTCACCCCTGTGAAGAGCTTGAAGTGTGACCCATATTTTGACAGGCGCTGCGGCCTCAGTGCACTTGAGTGCACCTGAGTGCACTGAAGACCCCTGACCCACGGTGATCAGCTTCTGGGCCACCCAGTGGTGACGCCACCTCCTTAAGCTCTGGGTGAGTGTCTTCCTCCACAGTGTGTGACATCCGCTCACCTGAACGCCCTGAACTCTGAGCCTGAGGAAGTCTGCAGAGGCCTGAGGGATCAGAGAGCACGACCAGATGTCTGTACCTGCAGCCAGTGTTTGTAAGGTCATTCAGCCAAATGATAGGGATACAGAGAGAGGGAAGTCTGGTCCTTCTAACCCACTGGCTCACATAAACAAACATGCTCCATGTGTTGAGGGGTCCTTAAAACCATTTACATTTTAGGATTAACGTAATCAAGTGTCAACATTAAAAACCCAAATAAATTGTATACATAATTATTAAAATTAACCAAATAATAACTATGTCACATATAAAATTGTATCAATTAATTTTTGTAGCACCTAAAACAGTCTTTTCGCCAAACCGCCAACTCCCCAATAATTATTTGACAAGTTAAAAACAGAAAGTTTAGAAGGTCTGCTGTGTCAAAATCTGTTGAGGTGAAGTGCACATTTTAATGTTCTGGATGTTCATCGACATACAGAATGTAAGGTTCTTTGAAGTTTACATACCTACCAACACATCAGTAAGGGGTGCCTTGTGCTTAGCCCCAAAATGGCAAAACAAAATATACATCAAATACCAATAACCACAAACTAATCTTGCACAAAATGACAGTGCAGCTGCCACACAAACGCTCAGTGCTACAGCTCGTGCACTCTTAAACTTTCAAGGTGATACCTGATTCTTTGTATCAGCAGGAAATTGTTGCCAAGGCAACAGAATTACTTTACTGTTGATAAAGAATGTCAGGCAATCAAGAGGGAACTGGAGGCGGCAGAGCACACTGCGATAGGGCGTCACCTCCACCTCTTCTCTTCTCCACAATGTGGCCGAGTGACAATCCATCTGCAATGGACACTCACAGCACTCTGAGTCCAGCGCATCGGGCCCTCCTCGAGTGTGGCTCAGGCACATGGAAGGCAAAGGCGTTCGTGGTGATGGTCAGTACCTGACAAAAATAAACCTTCGAAGGTCACCCGCAGAGCCCGTTTTACAGACAGGAGGTTGCTAAGACTCTCAACACATCAGTGTGTCCCGTTAAAGCCAGGATTGAAGGCTGACATTGAGCTTCTTTTCCTGTATACAGTGTTGTTTGTACGTACCACTCTATGTGCTTGTTTCAAGTGGTTAAGTTAATATTCTGCACAGGAATCCTGATTGGCTTCATTTAGCGCACAGGTGGTGGCTATATTGTGCAGAAGATGCAGTATAGTTAGTCAAGTTTTTTTTTCAGAGAATGCTGAAATAGAATAAAATAACAGCCATGTATTTTTTCCAGTACCAAACTTGCTTAATGTGTTTGGAATTGCTGCTGTCCTACACACTCCACTAAAATGACTTCACTTTGAATTAAGAGGCAGCAAGTCCATCCGTCGTCTTTATTTGACGTCTAACAATTTAGGTTTGTGCACAACAGCACTGTTGCTCTTTGCTGAACTCTTTTCCACAATGGTTTAATACAAGTTGTCTTTATCTTAGAGCCCAGTTCGTTCAGGCAATGAGGTGAAGAACAATTTTACTGCAACCATTCAATAATCCTGATTTGCAGCTGGCCTTCTCAGAAAGCCATACAGATGAAGCGATATGCAAAGAAGGGGCCATCCGTTTGTCCAAGTTTAAACTAATGATGCATCTTTTTTTTTCTCTGAATGAGACAGAAAACATCAGCTCAAAAAGGCTAGGGAGGTAAAGATAATAAAAATTAACATAACTAATAACTGCTATGTGCCGAAGCCAACATTTAGGTCGTTTGAGTGTTTCAGAAGCAGAATGGATGAGGGAGCGCTGCATACTTATCTAACTTCATAAAACTGAAAGCTACAAATTGGAAGTAATTATGCCCCACTTAGCGCCGAATCACCTCTCTGAAGACTCTCACCAGCTCAAAGACAGAGGATTTTGTTTATATAATTAAATATCCTGCCCAAACGTTCATGTGACGTTGATGAACACTCCATCACCAGGCTGTGGGATTTGCATGGTGTGAATGCATATTAAAGCTCATTTTAGAAACTGAAAATGACACCTTCCAAGGATTGCTGGTGTTTTCCTGCATGTCAATTATCGACAGAACAGTGCAGGGGAGATTTGATAAGCTTCCGGCATATCGGATACAAGGAAATGGAAGAAAAAAAACAAACAAATTTAAACAACTATGACAAATTAAACTCATGTGTAAGCCCCACGAACAAAAAATAAAAAAATACTCTTCTATAATGCAAGTGAGCTGGAATAAGCCGAGCGGACGAGGAGACAGTAGAGCAGCGTGTCATATGCATTTGACATGAGGCTGTATAAGGCCATTGCTCTGGAAATATCCTTTTGGCAAAAATCAGCGTCTACCATGAGCAGCAAGATCCTCTATTTTTATTACATTTGATTTGTACTTCCTTTGGTTTCTGTTTTGTACTCTACACATGCAAAGTATGTATGGACACTGATGTTTATTAACCTTAACATGTTTGCACACGTCATGTCTTTTTGCACAATCTGTGTGATACTATCTATGCCAGATGTGACATGTACATTTCTCCATTGTGGGATCAATAAAGTTAATCTTATCTTATGTTGGTCTTTTTTTGCTATGGGGGGAAATTATATTTATAGGGTGGGAGTCTTTTTCTTCCCTCACCATTTTCATCTGTTAAATTGTAAATATATTTTGAAATTATTGACAATTCGTGAAACTGTTAAATATGTGCATAAGTAATGTTTTTAATTTGATCAAATCTCTGCATACCATTAAACAGCTTTGTAAATATTGTAAATTACCTCTTAATGTACACATTTCTGCTCAAATATATTCATAAAACAAAACATAACAAAAGATAACTAACTAATGAAATTACTGAATTAATGTGTTTGTTTTTCTGGTCCCATTTGGACTTAATTAATATTACAGTTGTTTGGCATCCTTCTCAGCCAGGCACATTTTCGGCTGGACAACACAAACAAGATTACATAATTTCCCATTTATCTGTCACAATACCAAATTTCTATTCTATAATAGCCACATTATAATTCGAAAACAGCACCACATCTAATCATTGCAATTCAGAAAAAACTGTTTCTGAATAATAATTAAATGATGGCATAATAAAACTCTGTATCTTTACACACTTTGAGTATGTTTCCATGGTGTTGTATACATGATCTGGTGTTGTCACAATACGAAAATTAGTAGTATCTAAGATTTGATTCCAATACTAAGAAATAAACCTCAAACATTATTGACGCCACAAGAAATCAAGACTCTGAACTGCTATCTAGTATCAATATAGTTTTGATAGTTTTAGTATATTTTATTATCTGATATTTAATACTTTTTAGACAACCCTATTATGATCTCAACAAATGAAATAGTCCTGTCTTTTTGGTCCCTGAAATTGGAGCGAGGGTCATACAGTGAAGCAGTGGATCTGGCTGTATAGTTTCATTCACACTGCTCATCACGTCTGGACAAAGTGAAAAATCACTTAAGTCGAAGGCTGGAGGATGATAAGTGGCCTGGATCGAACCAAGACCATTTATACACCATAAACCTGCCCTAATTCCCCAAGGCTCCAGGGATGACACTGATCCCGGCCCTGACCACTGTCCACACACACATGTCCGGGGCACCATTTCAATGCTGAAAGTGTAAAGAAACTACTGCTGTAACAAACATAATGGTCATGAAAATCTAAGTCCACTCATAACCTTCTTGAGCTAATTAAGCTCCATAGTCCTGCCTCTCCCGGTCCAGATTCCCAGGTCCAGAAACAAAAACTGACTTTCAGCCTGTTGACTTCCAAGAAATCAAATTTCAACGGTTTAAAGACACCACAAAAGCAATCCATCAGAAACACATTAAATTCTGACCATGAAATGTTGTATTTCGTTGAGGCATATTATAACATCCTCAAATATGGGATGTGGGTTTTTACAGAAATAGGCGAGTTTCCTTTAATTAAAAAAATTTGTCTAAAAGCATAATCCAAGCCTTCCATTTTTTGTCAATGGAGCTAGTTAAGCGAAGTTAAGTTAAAGCAAACTGTACATGGGGAACATTAGGCTCAACCAATCAAAAGGGCCCTGAAGCTTACAACCTTGCAAGTGTCCAGTTCAAATTGTGAAAAACATGTCACAAAATCAACTATTTAAAAGAATGCATTTGTTCAAGCTCTTGAACTTCACATTGTTGGTCTGTGAAAAATAGAGTATATTCGTCATTATTACAATAATGCAGTAGAAATAGAATTTGCGTCAGCCTGTCAAATCTAACTATATAGATTTTTTTTTTCCAGCTAAAAATTCACATTTTGCTTATTGCTTCATGTTCGCGCATCTAGATCGTGCTTGCAGCTGAAGCTTGTGGCATTCAGTTAGTATAAATACATTGTCAAGAAAAATTGGCTTACATTTATTCCAGTGGCTTGTAAAAGTTATTTTGTAATGCCAGATGACTTCATACGCACATGTTTAGTCAATCTGACGTGAAGGTGTGCTTAGTGTGCTTATATGTTTGAATAAAAAGCCAAGGGCAGAGTATATGAGTGTGCTCCTCTGACAGCAGCTGTATGTCATTTCCACAACCTGGGTCCAACTCAAATCTCAGAACATTCCCTCTTGAAATACAAGTCAATAGACATCAATGCGTCTGTGGTCTATTCAGGGAACAACTGAAACCCTGATAGTAAACCATGTGTCTTTATTGACAGAGGCGACCGGCGCTCAATATTCAATCAGTCTTATGAATAAAATTAAGGTTTTCCGTCCAACCAAATTAATGAGTAATTCAAATTATAGCCTAGTATATAATAAAAAAGCTGTGAAAACACTACATTCAGACAAAATATTAAAGCTCAGATACCCATCTTTCAAACCACATTTGATGAAATCCATCTATATGGTCACTTTTAATTTAACTGTACAAAATATATCTTGCACAAAAGTCTTTTCACTTTTTAACATCTTTTTGCATCATTCTTTTGTCTTTTGCGTACCCTGAGTGACACTATTTATGCCAATTGTGATGTATTGTGAGATCAGTAACGTTTATAATATCTTATCTTATCTAACCATCTCTTTGGTCTCAAGACACTTTGGTTCTATCACTATTGTCGATCTTTAGATCACGTTATTCAGATGGGACAAAAGTGAAAAAGAGCTGACCAGAATTATTTTTAGAGAGCATATTGCAACATTTTACGTTTAACACACACACACATCTCACTCAAGGCGCTTCACTTCAAGGAACCAATCAATCACACACACACACACACACATTCATTGTACACCTAACCAGTATACACAGGCATCGGGGGCGTGGTGCCTTCAGCTCAGAAATAGGTACCCCAGGTTTGACCCACCACTGAACTACTAAATCTATTGCCGAACAAAAGAAATCTGCCGAGGAATTGAGAGGTTATTTTGTGTGATCTAAGTGATTCTGTGGTACTAGAGTCCTTGGAAGTCGATGCCTCTTCTTTCAGCCGTTTCAATTATTGTCATTTTTGAACTATCATCTGACCTTGCTTTAGATTGATGTTTGCCGACAGCCAAGGTTGCATGTCTTACAGAAGTTTGGAATTGTTGCTTTTCTTTTGAATTGTATCACAGAAAATGCATGAATTCATCTGGAGGACAAACTTTCATGTTGACGTTTTGCAATGACTAATCTCTGTTTGCCCAACACAAAACATGCTTGTAGAGGTGTAAAGCCATGCCATTCATGGATATTTGTGTTCATTAATTTATCAACTTGTCCCTGAAAAGATATTCAGATGAAGATTTGTTTTGTTATAAGATGTGAGAAGAACACACAGGTTTAGAGTTTGGGTGTACACAAACGTAAAGTCACCTGGTTCATTTCTTTAGCATAACAGTGAGGTCTATTTAAAAAGAGCCATGAGTATGATTTTGAAAGAAATACT